GTTATTCGTCACTAGCCTTTTAGCCGTCTGCAACCATCCGTCTTTCTAAGGAAAGCTGTCGCTGTCTTATAATCAATTTATTCGGCTAAACTTCTTTTTCCTCGGCCGGAATTTGTTGAAGCCTACAAGTTTTACTGACCGATGATCGATTATTTAAGTTATCATTCCCTGCCTTATATACCTTACAAGCCTTACCAGCTGATGGAGAACGGGGAAGAAAACCGCTTATCCATGACCTTTTCTGCCCTAGGCAGAATTGGAGTACGAGCATTATGATCCATATCCCCGGAACGGGATAGCGGTTTGGATTCGGTTAGTAACTTCTGTTCGCTCCTGGTCTTCGGCATTGCGCACAATCCAAAGCGTTCCCGTAAAAAAGAAGTGAATGTGGTAATGTACCTAAGATTGGGGTGTAGATGTTATTTATCTGTAGTGCACATTCAGTGGACGCTAGTAAAATCTTTCCTAAACCGTTCTCGTATTCTGGTGTGATATGCACGACAGGACGTCCCCTGTGAACGGAGGCACCCGACAAACTCAAGTGGGCCGAGTCTCGGTGTTGGCTGGAACTGTTGACAGATAGGAATTTCTCCGCGGAGAGGACGAACTCACAATCTGAAAGAGAGAAAATACAAACATCGTGAACAAAGGTCCAGTGAGACATGAACACGACTTACACTTAGATGGAATGGCAAGTTGTTAAGGTCGTTATGCTGCCTTAACGTACCATGCAACCTTCTCTTAGAAACTGGACCGAGGATATGATGACTACGTTAGGTACACGAAGTACTATTTCAGGGCAAAGTGTCAGTGTGAAAACAAATGACGTTTCCTAGTAGCACACTGAATGTTTCACAGGACAGACTAGTGTGAACTCAATTGGTGGTGACCAGTCCGATTTGCAGAAGTGTACTCTGAAGTTCTCGAATGTTTTCCAACTAACAATTACGGATTTCAACGGTAAATTCGTCGTGTAAAGCGCAAATGAAGCGTGAACTGAAAAGCTAGGAAGCAGTGTACCGCTGTTTCGACTTGGTTGGGTCTCATCAACGGTGCGAATCCAGCGACCCATCTGGGGATCGATCCCAGGACCTCATAGGTAGAATACAAGCATGCTGCCAACTAGGCCACCGGGCCGCTGATTAGACCATTTTTCCTTTACCATTTACACGATATAGCACAACCCATCTTTGCGAGCTTGTTCCGGGCATCGCATCTCGCTCATCTCAGCACTAGCCTCCGGGCCAGTGTAATAAAGAAAATATGGGCTTATGAGTATCACGTTAATGCGCCCACAAAGATGAAGATCATTCAGTAGGAAGAGAGAAATACAAAGTTTATCTCTCAGTTCGACCGTTCGCGGGTTGTAGTAAATAACCGTCCTCAGATGAATGCACCAACCAAACGCGCAATTAAAACATTTTTGTTTGTCATTCTGTACTGCTCTTTTTTTATCGAAAGTTGTGTAGTGTTCTGAGAATAGAAATATTCAATGCAAACAGCAGGGTAACTATACAATCTCAAAAGAACAACTCATGTACCTTACTCAAGCCCCCGTATATATTGTAATATTATCAAATTTTGTACTAGGGCATAAAATCAAGGGCAATCATACCTATTTTGCAAGATATAGTGATAAAAGTGATAGTGATAAAGTTACCTGTGAAAATCGATTATTTTCAGATGTAAAACAGATTTTTGTGTAGTATTTTATATTTCAGTTTGAAGATGCACAGAAAGAAACCTATGGCAATGACTATGGGAACTGAAAGGTAGAGAAGTAGTGTAAAGCGATTCCTACCTTACCGAATACCATGACCAGTGAAAGTCTTGGTATCCGGATCTCGGGAACTCAAACCTTGAACGCCAAAACACCGCTCATTCGATCACCGCCGAGATTAGTAGGCTGTTTTTCTTTTTTCATATATGATGTTGCATAAACTATCAAGTGATAGGTGTCTAATCCCGTAGTTTAGAAAGAGGAACACTTATTGAACTCCACGTCTCCTTTATTTGAACTGGGAACTACGTCTAACTGTCACTATCCATCTCGCATCTATCCGAGAATGGAACAGCGTGATCAGTTGAATAGTGTAAGAGAAATACATTAGGAAAACATCAAGGAACTGGTGAAATTTAGTCGAACAAACACTAGTTGAAGATCTATTGCGAAACTATACAACGGACAAAATGACGCTTCGATCTATGGGAATCAAAATTCTCATTTCCTTCACCATGGAAAAAGTTATGCGTGAATGAATAGCGTGTTTTATAAAAACAAGCAATAGATGAGCTTACAGTGCTTCTTGTGAACGGTCAAGTTCACGTCAGTACGTCAGGACTTAGAATTCCCCATTTTAAAGTTAGTCACATCCTCCTCGGGGTCTTATCAACAGATGCTTGTTACCTTGGATATTTTTTATAAAAACATTGTCATAGTGTTATAGTGTCTATAGTGCTCTGCTTGACCGTTTAGACCAATTCTGTCTCAAACTTCAGTACTCAAGCAATCAAGTGCACAACACACAGCTGCCAGCCAATGAACTCAGCTAGACGGAGAGTCCTGGGGCACAACCATTGCAGAACAGACGAAAGACAAGTCAGTGATGAACTTAAATAGGATCACTCAGATGGATCGGACACGATGTTTATAAAAATGCATCTGTTGGTCAAAAGACCAGAGGCTCACTCCACTTTTTTCTACTGCTTTGTAAGGGAAAAATTTGAAAGTCATTTCACCACGCAAAGTTTCACAATCTATCCATCTAATGGGATTCGTACTTGTGTTTCACTTGTTATCTACATAATTTGCAACTTACAAATCTTTCCACGTGGTACCTTCGTGGTCAGGTATTTTGACACGCAATCTACTCTTCTCCCTATCCAAATCTTAACTAATGGTTTGCAATAACACTAGATCAAATTGCCAGTACTTGTGTCGAACACCTGACAGAAAGTTTAATACAGGCGCGGAAAAAGGACCAATCACGAAAATAATCATAAATGGACAGACAGCGAAGTATCATCACTTGCCGTATGGAACAGCGTCTATGAATGATTTATTCCTGAATGGAATCAAAATATCAGACGAGAATCTAACGGGTGAACGACCTTCGTTGACAAAATGTGATTTGCTTCATTAGACCCCATTTGCTATTTTTCTTTTCCGGACAAGCACAAGCGTAGCTTAATAGCTGTATTTTAATACGTGGCGCATCTGTTCCCAATTGGAATGAGGTGCCACAGCCAGGACACTCCTGCACTTACACTACAATTACCTTGGTGACCGAGATACTGGTTGTGTGAACTGTCAATCTTTACACTGTATCACGGGTTTCCACCGTATTACATTCCCCATCATGACTTGTAAATTGATGGTCTGCTGTCTGTTATATTCAGTAGACTCAGTTGATTTTTCAGCTACCCAGAGGAATCAAAAGAGGGATGAGAATATAACTTACCATTATTTAAAAAAGGCAATGATTGATGTTTGATTTACATTCCATTGGAATGATTCTATATCTATTCACCGTGGTGTCCATTGAGTGANGAGTGATTTAATCGTTCAGGACATGCTCAATTCTACGTTTCTCCCATTCCCGCCGTCCCGTTCAGGTTGCACATCCACTGATTCAGTCCAGTCTCTTGCAGTTCATTCATTCCGGATTCTTTGTTTCCGTGCTCGGATTCTCCTTGACTAAGGTGAGTGCTGTTTCCGAGACCATCGGTTCCGCGTTTCCTCCCCCCCCCACCACTCCCATCTCTCGTCAGGATTTCACAATTCGTACCGAGTTTCGCGAAGGGTTCGTTTCATTCTCGGATTAGTTTCCATTACTTTCTTTCTGTAGGGATCTGTTGTCATCGGTTCTTTCGTTCATCCTTTCATGCACACCCGTTCGCTATTGCCATGGTAGCTGTTCAACAACAGACCAGTCCATCCCTTATGCCCTTCCTTCTAACATGGATTGACGAGATTGTCCACTTGTCTGCTTGTTTTGTGAGGAAATACTGAGTTGGATTATAATTGCTTTTTTCATTTCACAGCACCCCAGTGCTTGAACTGTTTATGAATTTCCGATACGGAACACTTGTCCAGATGCTCAACACACACACACACACACACCACTTCCTCAATCGAGCCTTCTTACCAATCTTGTCGTTTGTCTGCTTGTAAGAGCTCGGTGAAAATTCCCGTGTGGAAGTGTCTGTAGTCGTGTCAACAAAAGTGATCGATAAGGTAATGGGGGAGATCAATGTAACCTTTTCAACCGAATGGAAATTCCCCTCAATCTGGTGACCTGATCTACATGTAAAAAGTTCATAAATCACCAGAAATATTCGTAAGTTGATTCTAGCTTATCACGACACAGTTTCATCGGTTCCCGGGGCAGTGTCTGACACCAGAAGCGAAGAGCTTTGTCTCATCAAAACCTATATGTTAACTGCCAATTATTCTCCAAACGAATTGACGGCGAAGCGCATGCTCTAGCTACATTGTACCGTGATTAGAAACGGGACATTGAAGATACATCTTTCTTCTTCGGCACGTCCGTCTGCCTTAGAACATCACATGGACGACAATATGTGAACCTGAGAAGCAAATAACAGACAGGCTTTCCGAAGTGTGACATAATATATGGAAGTATCAGTCAAATAGTAATGTAACCCGATGTTCAGGCGCTGCGAGTTCTCGGCACATTGACTTGAAAAGGCGTGAATCAGAACTTTCCACGGCCGCCTAGATTCCACACTTATTTGAGTTTTATTTCGAGCGGTACTGGTCCCGCTCCAAACACACTGACTTACCTGTCCGATACTTGTGAGAGAGGTTTTGGTGCTTAACTGTACCACAGGCAATTATGAAACAAAATTTTCACTCATAGAAGAAGATCGATATCGACAGAATTTTTATTGGTCATCAATTTGGTTGTCTTCTTGTGCTGATGCAATGGTAAAGGTAGAGGTATTTTTCACAAATCATTAAGTTGATAAATTGTTACATAAGCGTACACGAAGTAAAATTTGTTTCACCTGGTTGGTTCAACTTCACTGTTCGAAAAATACTTTACAAATTTATCCATGGGTATTTGTAATGGTTTCCGGGCATTATCTTATAGAGTTGCCTATTGACGTTTTAAGACCCACGGCATTGAGCTCACATTTACGTGATTCTTTGGTTCTAATCGCTGACCTTTTGTTTTACCTGCTCCACCGACCTAGGGAATATATAAATATAAAGTGTAGGGAGGAACACATATTGTGTATATTGCACATGCGCTATCTCAGATTGGCTTCACTAATAGTAGCGGTCTTAATCAGAAGAGTGATTCTTCCCCCTTTATAGACCGAAATTTCTCCTTCAAATGACCTTACAACCCTAGGTTTTCTCACCACATATAATAATCGAAAATATTCTATGTGGGTTTTTCATTATTCAGCATCCGTTACCCTTCCGTCCGATCTTGAGGTTATAAATCATGAATTTCAGTTCTGGTAGCTCAAGCTTCACATCACTTCTTCATATCAATTCTCTTGCATTCTTTATCATTCAGCGAACAGTTCTGATTGCCTTGTATTTAGCCTTCTTTCGCTACGCACTGCAATATTTTATAATCAAACCCCAGTGCTCAGATCACTATCCCCTGTGGTTTGATCGGATCTAACTAATTGGAACACACCTCGACAATCCAAATCACAGTCTACGAGGGGAAAGCAGTTGCCACCTCCCCTAAACTTGCCCCCATGTATACAGGGGAATGGATACGCCCACACGGTTGACTTGTTATTAAATTCTAATCCTTCTATTCTCTCGAATTTATCTCCAACTTCCACTATTGGCCCACCGGTTAATTGTCTTATCATCCTAAATGTTAAGATTCATCTCGTTTCTCGCCGAGCATCCTTGCACTGCTGGTTGGAGTGGCCTCCGTGGTACTGAGGCATCCCACTCCTGGTGTAGTCGAACGTTTTCTCTAGATCTATTAACATCAAACGTGAATTTTGTGAGTACTATTTATTCTCCGAAACATAGAACTGCCTAGTTCCCACGTTTGTAGGTCCAGAAAAGAACACTCCTCTGAATGGCTTACAAATGTTCGTCCTCGAGCAGTTCATGCACAAACCCAACTCGTTAACGTTGGCGTTTATCCTGAGTTCCATTTTCTTCCCACCAATATGTGTAATACCGGAACAAATGTTCAACAATGATCCAGAGAGATACAGAAAAAATTGAACCATTGTAAAGACGAAAAACTCGATTCCGGTAGTCCCTTATTCTGGTCAGCTGCCAGAACAGTTGCCCGTAATTTTCGTCCTTCCCTTACCGATTTTCTCCAAGGTAGAGCGTTTCTGGCGATAGGGTTCTCAAAGGTGCTTGAATGGTTGGGCAACTGGCTTCCTTTTGTGCTTCCAATTTTATCCTACCTTCGTCCACCACTCTTCCTTCACCTTCTGACCAGTACGGTCCCAAATTTTGCCCTAAAATCATCCATCACAGTATTTACTAAATACATCCAAGTCACTTGATCCAGATGGTCTCCGGTCAATCATACCTAGGAAGTTCTTTTTTCCTCAATCTCTATCCTTCGGTGTATGTATATCACAGCAGTTGGAAAATTGTTCACCCATCCCTGATATAGCTGCATTCACCTCATATCCATCGCCTCGTCTATCTCTAAAGTCATAAAATTAGTGATTACAGAACAAATTTAATACCACTTGGAACTTCACTAATATAGTTTTCACCGTCACAGACCCTTTGGCGACCTGTTTGCATCCAAGTCAAAAATTGCTACCACGACCATTGTGAATCGCATCTGGTCTCCGTCGATACTTGCAAGACGTTTGATTGAGTTTGGCATAATGGGCCACCAGTAAATTTTCCCACGTTTATACTCTTCCCATTTTGTGTAACATGGATGCAAAGTCTTCTTGGTAAAGGTTAAACCTTGGTTCCTGTTGATATGTTCATGCGGAGAGCAGCACCAACGAACCACAGCTTCCCACGAGGTTCTTTAATGTCTTTCGCCCCTTTTTCTCCTCTTCACCAAAGCCGTTTTATACCAAACGCTTTATCCAGCCCATGTTTTTGCCTTGATTTCATTCTACATTCTTCTCTTTATCACTACACGTTTCCTGCTTTTTATGCCATCATCACTCGAAATCGGCTGTTCGCTGGTGCTTTGGGCACGGAAAATCCAGTCCTTTGCAATAACACAAAAACCTCCGGTACCTCTGTCTCATGCAAACCTAGTCCTCTTGCTCCCCTCTTCGTTTTGACTCTTATTCGCATGTTTCCGCATATTATTCAATACCTCACGGTCTCAAATGTTCTTCTTCCGTATCTCAGTCGCTCCATATTGCTGAACCTGCATCATGGGCTTCGTTTACCTTCTCTTTTCTCATGTGACCTTTCCGTATTCAAGCGCAGAATTAACAAGTTGAGTTTTGAATGTATGTCCCGCATCCCCACTAAACAGTACCACTTTACCATACATCAGGCTTGTCATGCAATAGAAAAGGATTCATTGTGGTTGTTCCCATGCAAATGTGAAAGAACTTGCAAGTGATCAGTGTTGTTAGAGGGTTTTCAGACTTGCTAGTATTGTTTTCAGACCGTTCGTATCCGGGCTAGGGAACATTCTCAGTGCCATAATTTTACAGATGTTGTCTAGCCTAGTACATAATGTCTGGAAACAAAACTGTCAGCCCAGAGAAGCCTCCGACGTTGACATGTGCATCCCGAGTTCAAGGACAGCAACATGGTATTCAACACTGGAGGTTATCATTTTCAATCAAGGCCCGAACCTCATCAGTCGCACTCTTTAAACATGACCATTTTTTGCGTTCCAGATCGAATGAGCTGCCCAGCTAATCCGATACAATTTAAATGAACGCTTAGATCATCACCCAGTAGTGCTTTTTGACTCAAATATGAGTTTTCGTTACTGAAGGGCTTTTCTGTCTCATTCGGCTACACAACTTATAATTTTCCTACTCTGATATTATCAAGTAGGCCTAGGCTTATTCTACGAGGGAATGTTGATTTACTACACTTGGTGGAAAGCAATAACTTTGTCACCAGTTCGTCACATTCTGTGGGTCTAATTGAACCGGTTTTGGTTGAGATCGTCTAGAAATTTTCTGCCCTCAGCTGTAATTTATTTCATTCACCCTTTCTATTAACCATTCAGGTGTATAGCCAAAAGACAGACACCAAAACGAGCGTACAAAAGTGCAGTTATCGATTATGTCGACTGAAACTGCATTTGTAAATCTTAGCAGCCCGGTTCATCTCAGTTACGTTCTCCTCTAGGAATATCAAATAGTACCCCGAAACAATTCTAAACCCATTTTGGTAGACTAAAACGTGTGTTTTCCGTCATATTCAGCGATTTTTTTCACTGTGTATGTTCGATTTTGAGTTACGCGATGGCTTCCGCAACTGACGACGCGTCCAACAGTGAACAAAATAAGCTTAACTTTATAGTTTCTTAACTGCTGTCTTTGGTTACAAACATTTCCCGATCAAAATTTCCGTTGCATTTTTCGTTCAAAAGAAGTTTAACTTCCAGTTGAACATTCTGTGCTGACCAAATTGTGCTGTCATTGGTGTCAATCCTTGGGTGTTCACATGTGTGCGTGTGTGACTTCAGGCACTGGAATACATAGTTCAATCAGTGTTTTCGGACAAGAAAAATTTA